TATTTGTATTTTTTTGTGAGATAAAAAATAGAGTCATGCTCAACAAATAGCACGACATGACTATGCAATTTTGTGGGTTTAAATACCAATTAGTTAACATAATAGCTTCGCATTTACTAACAAGTGATAGTCGACCTCAGAATAATAGAATCTAGGACCTCCTTCTCATTCAAAATACCATTGACAAACACAATTCTATTTCTATGTAACCACAAAGACCACACTGTACTTATCCAAATAATTAATAAGCATATCCCTTCTCTTTTACTACAGCCAACATCAACGCAAGAAAGTAAGTGAGTTGATAAATCTGAAGGTAAAATTAGTGAGAATCCAAGCCAACGCGCAGTACAGTACCAGATTTAAGATCAAAACTAAGCACGTTAAAAATAAATGAGTTAGAAGTTCCTCCAAAGCATGACAGAAGCAACAAGTTATATCATCAATTTAAACACCACGAATAATTAGCAAACCTTTACAAGGAAGTACATTCAGCAACAATTACCAAGAAAATACTTGACACTTAAGAGAGACCTTCTCTCTCCATAGCCTTTGCAAAGCATCTGCCGTACACTGATTTACACTATTAGGACCATAAAAAAGTTCAAATAGCCATGAATACGCAGATTGTACTAAATAACAACCTGAAAATCTGTCATCCATACCCATTTATCTTCTTGTAGTAACTTAATAGAAACTCCATCCACAAGCTCTAACAAAAGATTAAAGCTTGAGATCTCATATTGAAAGAGTCTTCTTCGCCAACTAACATCCCAAACCCACTTCGTGCCATCATGAAAACTATTCTCCAGTACATATGATTCAGCATTTCTCGCCACCGCAAACAATCGCAGAAATACTTCACATAATCGTACCCTGCCTACCCACTTATCTCTCCAAAAAAGAATGTGTAAACCTGCACTCACACTCCTATCAAATTTCTCATCCAGTCATGAATTCTCTTGATGAATAACCTCCAGCAAATCTTGCCACCATAAAGAACATCTGTTGTGAATTGATGAACACTGAACAGAAGAAACTAATCTTCCATATTTAGATTCCAACACCCGCACCCACAATGAACTAGAATAGTTAATACCTTACTACAACCATTTACCAAGACGCGCTCAATTAAACCACTGGACATTCCTAATGCCCAAGCTACCATTCTTTCGCGATCTACATATCGTTTCCCATTTCACCCAAAAAATTTTAGATCCATCCTTAACACCCTTCCATAAAAAATTTCGTTGGATAGTGACAATCTCTTTTATCACCGACTTCGACACCTTAAAAAAGGATAAAGAGTGCAATGACATAGAATTAAGAACGACATTAATCAAAGTCATCCTGCCTCCAATCGATAAATACTTATGCTTCCATGATGCTAACCTCTTTTTAAGAGCCTCTAACACACTTTTCCATGCACTAGGCTTTCTCGAGTTAACACCTAACTATAACCCGAGATACTTTAATAGAAAACTACCAATCTTACAATGTAGGAACTTCGTAACCAAGTTTTCAAAGTCATCACCGGTGTTAATCCCCAATACACAAGATTTATGGAAGTTAATTTTCATACCTAACATTAATTCAAAGCTACACAATACTACTTTTAAAGTCCACAAATTTTGCACTGAAGCCTCTGTCATAATCAATGTGTCATCTGCAAACTACAGCAAAGAAATATCTGGTCCTGCTACTCCAATCTTCACATCAGAGAACAACTCACAAGCCACTGCCTTCCGCATAAGAACTTCTAACCATTCCGCTGCCACAAAAAAAAAAGGGGGGGGGTAAGAGGATCTCTTGTTTTAGGCCCCGCTCAATATGAACCTCCAATATAGGACAACCATTAATCAAAGCTGATAAGCTACCCCACACACACAAGCTTCCATCCAACTGATCTATTTTTCTGAAAATCAAAAGCTATGTAATATAAACAAAAAATATTTTCACTCCACTGAATCATAAGCCTTCTTATAAATATTCTATTTTTTTGAAGAAGCCCCAATTTACTGTTTTGCCTAAAGTTCAAAAAGGTTAAGAACAGGTCTATCACATCCTCACCTTTCTTTCTATTTCATCTTCCTCCACCACCTTGTAAGACAACAACCTTTCCACCATCAACGATTTAATTGCTCCCATTTCTTAAAATGAAGGGGAAAAAAAAACTTAATTTTGAGTCATTGAAGTGCATTTATGAAAATGGAAGATTTTGAAGTTTGGGTTGAATATATTTCTTTCATGATTTTGGTTTAAGGGAGCGTTTGGTTGGAGCAGAATTATGAGCAACACAAAACAAAATTCCATTATAGAGCTTCTCGATAGATTTCAATAAGTCAAGGATCAAGGTATTCATAATATTTACATTTTTATCTTTCATTAACAAATTGTTACATTCACATCATATCCTTCTGCAACATATTATTAACTAAAATATTTACTTAAAACCTATTAAATCCTAACTTCTCATTTTTCTGTACTATTTAACGGTCACAAGTTATCATTCTCTGTGCTCATTGTAAAATTCTTATTGAAAGGATAGGGAGGATGCAATAATCCACCAGAAGTATTTGACCTTTTTTTTTCTTTCTTTTTGTAACTTTTTTTCTCTTTATTGTAAAATATTTTAGACTTTTTTAAAGTAAATTTATGGACAAGTCCATGTAAAGGGAGAAAAATGATATAAAAAAATGAATAAAATTAAATTCTATTAGTTAACTCAATATAAAAAAGGTAGTTAAAGACAATTAATTTTTTATTCACATATTTTATTAAAAACCAAATTTAATAACTTTTATTAAAGATGGGTAATATTATTTTAACAGTGTCTACAACGTTAACATAACGTTTCAATATTAGAGATGAATTCTAATCATTAAAACTTCTATGAAAATCAAAATTTAATTTAATTTTTTTATTTTATAATAATTTTATATACTGATTAAGATAAGAACCTATGTCTACACGTAATAACGTTGAATTGAAACTCTATACTTATCATATTGATAGTAGCGAAAGGAATTAATTGTTTATTCGCTTAATTTATTAAAGAAACCGAACTAATTTTTTTAAAAAACTAATTTAAAATCTAATAATTTTTATATGAACATATATTTTAAGTTTAAAATAAAATATCTTTACATTATAAGGACTCTAATTTTTTTGCTAAATTATAAGGACTCTAATTAATTCATTATTTCTTTTAGTTTATATATTATAATCTTAAACGAGGTAAGAAAATTAACTAAAATGTATTATATTTTTAGGGATCGTGAATCACAGTTGTCGTTTCAAATTGCACTTGGGACGTGTCGGCACAGCAGATGACAACCCAACGCAGATTCTGCAACAACAAAAATAATGAAATTTATTAAAAGAAAATGTTATCAATAAATTTTAAAATTAACTTTAAATATTTAAAATTAATAAATTTTAAAAATTTTTGTTATATTTTAAATTTTAAAAAATGTTTTAATAATTTTAAATGTTTAAAATCAATCTTATAAACTAATATTAATAAAACCATTAATTTAATTATTAAAGCTGGAAAACGAATAAAACAAAGTTGGGTTAACAAAATAGCATGTTAGTTTTGCTTGAATTAGAAAACAAAATTTCATTATTTACTATTTCTTTTAGAAAATTGCATTTTCATTTAAAAACCGACCACTGAAAAATTTCAATGTAAACATAAGTATGATTATATTTCTATTATTCTTGGACATTTACACTAGTTACAGTAAACAAATTATTAATTATAATATTCTATACATTTTTATTTTATTTTAAATTATACATATTTCGTAAGTGAAAAAAGATTAATTTTCAACTTGAAAACAATTTATTTTCCAAAATTATCAAACAAGTGCATACCATTTGATTGACTATTGAACTAATAACCAATTCTACTTTATTATTAACCAACAATTTACTCTATTATATGTATCTATTTTAGTCTATTCATATATATATATATATATATATATATATATTAAAATGAAATTAATATCACACGCCAATCATTTATGTATAGTTTTATTTTTAATTCATTCTTTCTAATTACCATATTAATTAATAAATATTTTTTACAAATTTTAATTTTAAAATAGGGATTTAACGTAATTAATATATTATTAAATTTTATTTAAGTCATAAAACCTATCTTTTAAATAAGAATACAGTTATATAGCTTTAAAGTTTATTAATTACTATAATATTAACTGTAAATAAAATATTTTTATATAATTTTGTGGGACAAATAATGATTCAAATTTTTTATAAATTATAATTAGAACGAACGTTCAGAAATGATGGAAAGACACTACAATCCAGAAGAGAATCTAAACGGACACGTGGCGACAATAAGGGAACTGTCACGGATTTGTCTCTAAAACATCGCCGTCACACCCAATCATTCCCTTCTTTCGCACGTGCCATCTTCCTCTTCCACGTGCCGGAAATCCCTCTCTCTCTCTCTCTCTCTCTCTCGCTCTCTCCTCTCAAAACCCCCGTCTCACTCCAACCAGCTCAATCAACTGTAAAAATAAAAAAATTCCTTAAAATTATTTTTAAGAGAGAATTTTTAAAGAAACAAAAACTGATGTATTTTCTAATTTTAAATTCAGAAAATTATATATAATTTAAGATAATAAATATATTTAACTTATGTTAATGTTTACTATATATTTTATTTTAAAAATTATTAATTTGAAGTATAAATTTTAAAATAAAAATAAAATGTGAATAAAAACAAATAAATATTTTTTTTAGTCGTTAAAATTGCAACCATCACTCATGTTAGGTTTCAAGTTAGGTTTTAACTTTAAATAAATATCATTCTATATTTAATGTTTTAAAATTTACTTTTCTTATTTTCTATTTTATTTTTTATTATTATGTTATATCAATAATTAAGATAAACAACTACACATTAAAATAAATATTTTTTAAAAATATAAAGACTAAAATAAAACCGTTTAAAATTTGAATGATTAAAAAACATATTTACTCGAACTTTCCTTTTGCGTTTCTCACAATTCTGCTCCAACCAAACACTCCCTTAAACCAAAATCACGACAGGAATATATTCAACCCAAACTTCGGAAGTTTCCACTTTCACGATTTTTGAATTTCGTGTTATTTTAGTATTATTCTTTCTTTTGTTTTTTCTTTTCGAGAAATGGGAGCGGTGACGTCGTCGATGGCGGCGAGGTTTGCGTTTTTTCCGCCGGATCCGCCGTCGTACACGGTGGTAGAGGAGGAGGAAGAGGAGGGGAAGGTGAGGATGGTGGAGGTGGCGACGAGAGATAACGTCGACGTATTGAAGGTGCAAACGGAGAGAGGGAACAGCGTGGTGGCGATGTATATAAAGAACCCAACGGCGTCGTTGACTTTGCTTTACTCGCACGGAAACGCCGCTGATCTGGGTCAGATGTACGAGTTGTTCAGGCAACTCAGTATCCACCTCCGAGTTAATCTCATGGGGTCAGTTTCTCAATTCTTATTACTATTTTTATCTAATAAAATAGTATATTTTGGTTGTTTCAAATTTACTTTTTTTTAATGTTTAAATAGTGCTTTATTTTTATTAGTCAGTGAGTCTTTGAATTATTCAAATTTGTTTCGTGTTAGTCTTCTTTGCTAAAATAGCAAATAGACCAGATAATTACTTAAGTCTGTGTTTGGTTTAAATTGATTTTGGGTCGTTAAATATGTTTAAAATGTGTGAATAAAATAATTTTTATCATAAATTTTACGATGAACCTGTCTCATAACATGCGAAATTGATTCCAAATGCTCCCCAAACAAGTACTGGGACTATATAGTAAAATTAATTATTGAAAGATATAGCATTATCATATTAATTTTCCCCAAAAAGTAAAAATTATCACATACGGAACCCTTAAACGTGTTTTCTGTTTATCAAAATAGACCTTAAATTGATGGAGTTAGAGATTAATTTCACGGACAAAAATATATATTTCAGGAACCTAATTTTCATTTCTTAGGGATTAATGTGATTGATGTTATACCATTCGTAAACTAATGCTATATATTTAGAAGTTAGATTTTCGATGGAAAAGGAAGATGAAGATAATTATTTTTTTTAAGATTAAAAGAGTTATATGATATTTTGAAAAATAAAAAAAATTAATATATTAAATTTATATTATTTATTATTTTATTTTAAAAATTTATGAAATAGAGAATATTTATTAGAAATAAAAGATTTCTCCCTCTGTTCCTCTTTCTTTAAAATTCAACTCTCAAGCATCCTTTAAAAAGGACTAAATTTACTTTACTCTATTTATGTCTGGTTTTTTTCTTTTTTTCCCTGTAGTTATGACTATTCTGGATATGGGCAGTCCTCTGGGAAGGTATGCATCTCTAAAGAGACTTTTATTTAAATAAACGCATTAAGTTATTGTATTTTCACAGAGACTTTTCCTCAGATTTTTACTTTTTATCAAACAAATTAATAAAGATAGAAGGGAAAAAGATGACAGAAAATCAGCGATATAGATAGTTGTGCAATTTCTTCTTTTTTTGAGCTTAACTGTTTACATTGTTTTTGGACAGCCTAGTGAGCAGAACACTTATGCAGATATAGAAGCTGTTTATAAATGCCTGCGGGAGAAGTATGGAGCAAAAGAGGAAGATATTGTTCTATATGGGCAGTCTGTTGGTAGTGGACCCACTATAGATTTGGCAACGCGTTTACCAAACCTTAGGGCTGTGATTCTCCACAGTCCCATCTTATCTGGACTTAGGGTCATGTATCCTGTGAAGCGCACATACTGGTTTGATATTTATAAGGTTTTACCTCTATCAATTCTAAATTGGTGAAACATAACTCATAATGTTCAATTTTGATCCATTTTAACATCGTTGTCTTTCTTTTGATGCAGAACATTGATAAAATTCCCCTAGTGAATTGTCCGGTTTTTGTGATTCATGTGAGTATAGCTATCTCTTATATTATTATAGTTAGAAATTAGATATATATACCATTGCATAGAAGAGGCTGCTATATTGGATTAATTATATGGTCATGATGGTGTATTTCCCATTTTTGCCTGTTAAATATTTCATTGGTTAGCATGTATTATGTGAACATGTACCCTCCGCAAATCCCCCTAAGCGGGAGCCTCATGCACTGGGTCACCTTCTCCTAGTTGTCCCTAACTTATATTCCTTTGGTTTTTGTACATAATATTATCATTCCCATCAATAAATTCATTGAACCATATGAACTTGTTAATGTTTTTTGGAGTTATTCTGGTTTGAGTTTGGCTGTCAATTGCCGTTTCTTGACCTGTCATTGCTGATGCCTGATCGAACTTCCTATATGTATTTTTCAAACACAGTGTGTCTGTCTCAAATTTTTCATATTCTTCCAACCAATATGCTAAAATCATTATTTAAATAACTTATTGATCCACATATAGGCAGATATTAGATATCTGGGAACATGTTTATGGGTTTGAATGTTTCTTTCATCGGTCAACTGTTGTATGTGAGCATATGGATTGCATGATCTAAGGTTGTGTTTCTACTTTCAACCACGCTTTTATGGTGAGATGGATCTTTGTGCCATTTATCTTTTAGGGAACTGCTGATGATGTAGTGAATTGCTCCCATGGGAAACAACTTTGGGAACATTGTAAACAAAAGTACGAGCCCTTATGGATTAAAGGAGGAAATCACTGCGATCTGGAGCTTCACCCTCAATACATAAAGCACCTCAAGAAATTTATTATGGCCATGGAGAAGTCATCACATCCAAAACCCGGATCTGGTTCTATTCCTGATCAACTGGACAAACCGAGGAACAGCCTAGACTTTAGAGAGAAATCAAGACCCAGCATGGATCTAAGGGAGAATTTGAGAAGTATCGATTACAAAGAAAAGCCAAGTGCAAGCACAGAACATAAAGAGAAGTCAAGATTTAGCATAGACAAGAGAGATAAATCAAGGAAGAGTATAGATCGCCCTGAGAAGGCATATAATGGAACAGATATACCTGAAAAAGCTAGAAATAGCATTGACCGGTTAGTTATAAACCATGCCCAATGTAGTTAGTTAAAATGATGCAGTAATGCTGTGTTTGACTTGATTTTTGTGTTTTGTGGTTGCAGTTTTGGGGAGATGGTGAGATCAGTTGGATTGTGCAATATTGATTGTTTCAGGCCCACAGCAACCCATGCATAAAGATGACAAAGCTGATAAGCGGAGCTTGTATTTTTTTTCATTAATTATTTCATTGGTTGCCCTTGCTGAGGCCTGTGCCATGCCCTGGCCTCGGAATGAGGTAGCCTACTTTCTTGCCTTCAACTCTTTTTAACCAAAAATTATATATATATATATGATAGGTAAATGTTTCATTGTGCCTTGTTTGTGTGTTTTAAAAGAAATAGATAGGAAAGTGATTTAACCGTGTAGATCATCATGTATTCATGTACCACTAAATTCAATACAAGTTAATAATCTAACCTCTTTATTTTTTGACATGCTAACATATTTGCATTTAGTTTGATTCTATTCTCGGGGTATGACCGTACTACATGGTAATATATTTCTTTCCTATTACCAAGAGGTCCTTGGGCGAAGTATTGTATTATATTCGCGAAGCTAACTACGGAACGAGCATTGCCCATTTTCAATTGGGGCCTAATCTAATACCAATATTAGATTTATGAAACTATGGTATTAATCTGCATTGTTTTAATGACTCATTAAAATAATTCTCATGTTAAAAAATAGTCATAAGAACTCTTAATATCCAGATTTTTTTAGCAGTTTTGAAGGAAAATGTAGCCTGCAATTTAAATTCGCTTAAATGAAATAAAATTTGTTTAAATAAATTTAATAAAAAGTAATTTTAATTTAAATTAAAAAAATTTACTTAAGCAAATTTAATAAAATAATAATTTTTGTTTAAGTCAAAAAATTTGTTTATCTAAAATTTTAAAATTTTATCTTTTTCTTTTTTTAAATTTTAAAAAATTTGAGAAATTTTTTGTTTTTATTAAAAAAGTTAAATTAATCTCAACGTTTTGATAATTTTGTTTTTATTAAAAAAAGTTAAATTTGCTGTTATTTTTTATGTGGCTCATTTTATGTTTAGTTTAGTTTTTATTTTTCCTTCTATTTATTCTTTTCCTTTCCAATATCTGTGTATCCGTTAAATTGGGGAGATGAAATTAATTATATTAGGAATCGTATAAAAAATTTAACGTTACAATGGAAAATTAGTAAAACGTTCACTTATGAGTTGGGATTGCACTACCAGGAATAGAAGGAAAAGGAGTGTTCATTATAAATTTTAGTTTTTACACTTTCACTCTATTCATCCTACAGTAGAAAACAAATAAAATAAAATCTTTTTTTTCTTACATTTGAAACACTTACGATTTGTTTGCTTTTATTTTATTTTTTAAAAATTATATTTTAAAATAATTTTAAAAAATAAGAAGAAAATAAAAATAAAATTTATGTTAAAAATAAATTATATTTTGTTTTTAAAATATTTTTAAAAATAAAAAAAATAAGCTCTTAATTTTTTTATTAATTGTTTTGGTTTTAAATTAATTTTTGTAAATTATTACGATGACGTTTTTCTTGTGCTATTTACCTTTTTAACCTCTGGTTGTCCCTCTCTGGCTCTGCATCGGGCATCTGCAGCAGACTCTTCCTCCTTCAGCTTCTAAAGGTAATCCCTTATTTCCTCTCTCTTATTTCAATCTCTGTGAATCTTTGTTTCTATCGTCTCATATCTCAGCAATCAACAATACTCCTCTCATAATCAAATTAAATTAATGAATATATTCCTACATTCCTCATTTTTCTTCATTTTCATTTTGATTATGTAATTCCCACTCTCCTCAGTTCATTTTTCAATTTCTGATAGTTTTGCATAAACCTTGTTTCATGTTTGTGTTTTCTCTTTTGATAAGGTTATGTTTGCACACCAACTGTTTGCTGAAAGTATTTACCTTACTTGCATTGTCTCGGACCCTAGTTTCTGCACACCTTGTACATGGATTCTTAGGTTGGACATCTTAAATTCTGGCTACCTATTGTCATGGACTTTGCTCACGTGCTAATATTTTGATGAGTTATAAGCATTTGCAATTGAATCTATTGTGAAAGGGTTAGATTTCCTGTTATGTTAGAGAATAGAATCGAGTTAGGTTGCGTGGGTTGGATTTCAAGAACTCGTGGAAAAAATTTCTTTTTCATCTTGCATGTTTTGGGTGTTAGTTGGAGTAATTATTTGTTCAGTTCATATTTACTGTCATGTCGAATCTTGGATTGAATGTGGCATTGTGGCAATGTCTACACTTATATGTGATCAGGACCTTGCTCAAAATTTTGGTATGTCATTGCAGGTTGTGTGTGTGTGTGTGTATAGTTTTGAAATGAAGGAATGTGAACTAGACTTGTAATGCTACCTCACGGAATGCTTGTAAAAGTCCATGCTCTGTTTTCTGTTTTAACAAGTTCATAACGAGTTCCTTGCTAAAATCTGTTTAGTTGTGCTCTATAAGGACCGGAGAAGAGATTTTACGAATAGAGGATTCATACAAAACTTTGTAGTGGACAAAGTTAGACATGAAATTCAGAAGCAACTTTGTAGTGGACAAAGTTAGACATGAAATTCAGAAGCTATAGACCTAGGTTTGTTTTGGTTTTAAGGTGGAACCTTAAAATGAAAATACTGCTTCAGTCCATAGAACCTCACAGGTTTTCTAGTTTAATTCAAATGCTCATACTGAATACTTTCAAATGCTTAAACTGGAGTCAGATTTCTTATCTGTGGTTTATTGCTTGTACTCCATCATCTTAATATAGAATATAGATCTGTCCGCTTTCTTTGAATTGCCTATCTTATGGAAGGAACTTGGTACTGAAAAGAGAGATTAATTGAGAAAGAAATTGGATTAATAACTTTCAGCTCTCTCCCATACCCTCCCATAGCAACACCATATGATTTCTAGTCTGCATGTGTGGATCTGATTCTTAGAGGTTAAGATAGATTGAGAATGGGATGAATGTTTGATTATCAAGTGAATCTGACTGGTTAGTTAGTTAGTTTAGTTTTGGTTCATCTTGAAACTTTGTACCAACTGAACAAATGAACAAATTTTGGTCATTATCATGAGAATGAGAAGGGTATATGTTTGTTGTGTTCCCATATAGTAAATTATTATTACTTTTTGCTGCTTTTTGTTATCAGAAGAACCAATGATGGCTTTGTTTGAGCCTTTTGAGGTATACTGTTTCATGTTACTTCTTTTTTTTTTATCACTTTCTAACATATACTGGCTTTTAATAGTTGAATTGAAAGACTAAATTATACCTTTGAATAAATTAAAGACTAAAATTGCTAGTGAAGTGTATTTTCAGAACCAGTCTATCATTTTTCTCAATTTGAAAATATTCCAATCAAAGAACAATGAAAGGAGATCTTTCTGAATATTATCTTGGAAATTAGAATGTCTGCACTGTAATGATGTGCTAATTTTGTTGGTACTAAGCACACACTATTTTACTCTGCCCAACATCTGACAGATGTGATATTCAGATGTTCTGGCTTTAGTGCATGGATTTTTTTGCTAGTTGTACTCTGAAGACAAAAAAGTTTACTAAACTTGTGAATTTAATTATCCTATATAATTTTCTTAGTTCTAAAGAGTTCTTCTTGAGCTTTTGAACATTTCAAATTTGTTTTTAGAAGGGTATAGAATACATGGGAGTAGGGGGGTTGCTTGGGATTGTGTGGCCTGATTTAATCAGTGATGAATTGCACTCTCCTTTTTCTCAAGTAGTTGGGGTCTTTTCAACAGAGTTAAGATTTATTATATATTGTTTTCTTGATTATGTTTCCTTTGCATTTATATATCACTTAAGCTTCATGATTCTTAAACAGGAAAAAAAGTATTTCTTATTTCAGTTGTAACTGTTGTAATGCTTAAAATTCAGGTAAGAAGAACAAAAGAGGGAAGGAGAAGTTGATAGCAGTAGAATGGTGGTCTCCAGTACCAATCCCCACAATAAGGAGATAGCCATCCGGAGGAGGATTGCTAGCATGTAACTATTTCCCCCCTTTTCTCATTGTATCCTCCTTGCATGTGGATGATATGTTTCTCTTGTTTTAAACTTGTAATGAAAGAATAACATGGATGCATTTAATTTATGCGAAAATAATCCTGCAGAATTTGCATGCTAAATTATCTGTTATTTTTTGGGCAATATTGATATAAGGTGCATTTAGTATAGTGTCATTTTTGGTGGGTAGTATTTCATTAGTTATTGCTTTTGTTTCTTTCTTTTTCTTTGTGTGTATAATATAGTCAGTGGAGTTTATTACATTACTTCACTTCTTCACTGCCAATTTCATCAATTATAACTGAAAAATCTGTACAAATTTACAGAATACCTATGGACTTATTCCTGAAGGGTCTAATCATTGAACACATAGGACCATCTACTTAGTTACTTTGGTTAGTTAAGTGGCTGGGAAATTGGCATGATATATATAATTTCTCTCTCTCTCTTCCAAGAGCTAAGCCTCCTAATCTTAAAATCGACTATATTTTTAGTTCATGAATGAGAATAGATATATTAAAAATATGGGTTTTGTCATCACTTTGAAGGCCTTTATTACGAATATTTTATAGAAAAGAAAAAGTATAATGGCCATTGCACTATATTAGAATTTCAATTCTCAGTGTGTAGGGCCATGTTATATCAAATTCATTCAAGTATCTAATTATGCTTCTTTAACTGTAAATTTATAGATTTAATAAACGTGAAGATGATTTCCCATCTTTGAGAGAATACAATGATTACTTGGAGGAAGTGGAAGACATGAGTGAGCTTCTATTATCTTGTTTAATATTTACAACTGTTTCACTTTATGACTTTTGCTTTGTTTTGATGATTTTTTTCCCTATTGCAGCATTTAACTTGATTGAAGGAATAGATGTTTCTGATATTGAAGCAAAAATTGCCAAATACCAGGAAGAAAATGCAGAACAAATAATGATTAATCGAGCTCGTAAGGTACTTCTGAGGATGGACTTTCCATTGTTTGTCTCTTTCATATATGCCTCTCCTCAATCACAAAAAGAATGAAATTGAAGTTTTTTGCGCAAGCGAATTAGCTGTCATTTTTTCATGTATTTTTATGCTGATACTAATTAAACAGGCTGAAGAATTAGCTGCAGCCCTAGCAGCATGTAAGGGTCAACCTGCACAAACTGATAATGATGTGGTGAGCATTAGATATCCATTTTTATAAATTTTACTTTGTTGGCACAGTATTTGACCTTAGTTGATCTTGGGCTGTTATTGGAGATTGAGCTTATTTTGTTTTATCATGTTACTTCCTCTATTAGCATATATACTTTACCTGCACAAGCTGATTATTGATATAACTAGCTCCTTTGTTTTTTGTGTGTAAATAATTATTTATTTTCTTTTTAATCAGCAGCATTTGTGGTATTTTGATCTATATTTGACTTGGAAAAATGTGTGTATACATAATAAATCAGTGATTGACTTTGGGCAGCGAGTCTGAAAATTTTCATTGTATATGATATTATGGTGTCACAGATTGAGTTTCTAGATGGTTCTGCTTTGGGTTGCCCTTACTGGTTTTTTTCATTTCTCATTATGAAAGTGCAACTTGAATCAGATTGTGAGATGGATCAATGTAATTTGTCATGTGTGTTTGTTCGTTCTTGCGAGTGTATCGCCAAAATTTGTATCGGTAATGTTATTTGTGATACCAGCTGTGAGAATTTGAACTTGAAACTTCTATAACTAGCGAGGTTAAAATTTCGATCGTTGAAGCCTTTAATATGAACAAAGCTTTTGCTTGAAGCCTTGTTTCTTCTTTCAGCAGAATGGGATTTAACTATGTTCTGCCTTAGAGTGTGATTGGTGAGATATTTCAAGTGAGTAATTCATTTTTTGAATGAATTTACAATTCTATGGGGTAAAATTTGTTTGGATATTTAATTTTAAAGAATTTAAAAATATAAGAATTTTAGTGAGGTTTTTAAAAGATTTTAATCAAAGAATTCTAAATTATAACAAAAGAGTGAGAATGTGAAATTTCTTTTTTTCATTTATTATGATTCAAATCATATTTTTATTTAGTTATGGTTAATTTAATAATTTTAATTTCATGCTTTTAATTAATTTTGTCAAAAATATTTGAAAGGAAGGAAATTCAATTATTCTATCCAAACAAAATATTTTAAAATAAGAGAAACTTAAATTATGTAATTTAAATTTCTTAAAATTTTAAATTCTCTAAAAATTTTAATTTTCTCATCCAAACACAACCTTAGCCAATTTCTGGTCACCTTAAAGGGTTTCTGTGTTTTGCTCAAATATCCATTTTGTGCTGCCGAGTTATCGAGCAGATTTGTTAAGTAAAATTTATGCCAGATTAACTTTATCTGTTCTCTTGAGGCAGACTGCAAACCAAAACTCTCAAGTGGGATTTGGTGGTGTTCCTCAAGGACAATATGCACCTACATTTCCAGGAGGACAGCCAAGGCCTGCAGGCATGGCCCCACAACCTTTACCACTAGGAGGGAGTGACATGCTGGGCTATGCAGATGATGAGGAAACAATGAGGCTAAGAGCTGAGAGGGGAGCAAGGGCTGGAGGGTGGAGTCTAGAAATAAGTAGGAAACGGGCACTTGAAGAAGCTTTTGGAAGTATTTGGATTTGTTGAGAATATTCATGCAGGCCGATCATATGCTTGTTTAAAATGGTGTTAAGACCATTTCTAAGGACATGCAAATATCAATGTCACAACCCATTTTTGTGTGGATACTCTAATGTAAATGTTAGAATGTAAGTTTTGTTGCATTTTTGTTTTCCTTTCTCCTGATATTTTACCCTTTCTTGGATTATCATGTGTTAATCTATCATAGCGAAATCCCCATGTTGAATCCCTTGCAAGAGGCTTTGTCTCCTCTTTATTTTTTTCAACATTATATTAAGCTCTTTTTCCTTGAAAATGTAATTTGCCAATGAATTGAATTTCAGCAAAATGTTGTACTCTAGTAACATGGCTCTCGTGCTCTTCTAGATATAGAAAATGAATTAATTTAATAAGAATTTTGGATTACTCAAATTTAGATCTATAAGGGAAAAAAAAAGGACTCGGCATATTTATCTGGGATGACATCATCCCAAGGTACAAGATTCTGCTGCTCTGTTGTCCCTTTCCTTTCTCACTTATATTTTTACCTTTTTCTTTTAATTTGGATTGTCATGTGTTAACCTATTATAGCGAAATTCCCATGTCGAATTTCTTGCATAATCCTAAGTATCCTGAATCAAATTATAAGATCGAGACCATGCTCTTCGTGTGTAGATAATTTGACATGCAGTGTTTTTAGATGATGCCAGATAGTCATTAGACAAATCAATTATTACACTGCATACCCCTAATGCTATTGTTCAAGATTCATGTTACACTTTTCCAATTTGAATAATACTTATTGTGTCCCTTTATTTGAATATCTATGTGTATATCATATATTTACCTCAATTTGGTCTCAAGTATATGAATTATATGAATTGTAAAAGCTAGATTTACAATTTTGCTTGATCTACGTATTTACTAAATCATTTAAAATGGGAGAAAATTCATATGGAATCACTTGTATAATTGTAGTACGTACGAATGCCGCTGGAAACTTTTACCACAAAGTGACACTGGGAAGACTTCTCATTCACCATATTTTCATTCTTTAAGAAAAATAAGCAAGAATTGCAGAAAAAGTGAGGGAAAAACTAATAAAAAATCTGTCAAGGGAAATAGCTTATGCTACTGGTAGGGACACTTTAAATGAGAAAAAGTGGGACATAGTAATTTACAAGGATTATTTTGGTGGTGTTCCTCAGGGACAATATACATTTCCAGCCAAGGCTCTCAAGCTTGATACCACTAGGAGGGGGTGAGATCCACTACTATGCAGCTGATGAGGAAACAATGAGGCTGATAAATCCACATTTTACTAAATTTTTATATATCATTTCTTACTTATAGAAAAGAATAAACTTAGATAGTGTAAATAAGATGAATATTCCAATTAGGCTAAATAATATAGGTTTCTTAGTTTTTGGTTAATTTACATTGATTTAGATAGTTTATTTTACATGATTTAATCATTTGAATAATGTGGCAGGAATTCCCAACCTTATTTTGAAGAATTATTGGATTTTGAGGAATTTAAAGTGAAAGTAACTACTTTCAAGATTGATAATAACCACTATAGCAAGCTACTTTCAGCAAAGGGACTAAAGTGATCACTTTCAAAGTTCATAGTGATCACTCCAGAGAGTGTGCAGAATGTGCGTGTTCACTTTCAAAGTTGATAGTGGACACTCCAGAGTGTGCGAAAATTGAAAGTGCTGCGCGTGTTCACTATTAAAGTTGATAGTGAACACTCTAGAGAGCTCAGAATCCACTGATGCTACGCGTGTTTACTTTGAAGAATGAAAGTAATTACTTTGGAGGGCGCCTACTTTAGTATAAATAGATTTTTACCAAATTAGAGTAGAGACTTCTTACATTTTCAATACCTTTTCTCTTCTTTACTAAATTAGGACGATTTTTCAGAGCTTAGGGCAACTTTGGGTGACAGCTAAGGGTCCAACCTAGAGTTTGGTTTCTCATTTTTCTTATTTTTACATTAATGTCATTAAGTTTTCTGCATTTCCAACTTACGTTTTTGACCCCTATTGCCATGGAGGGCTAAATTTTGTGTAATCCTTGATGAGTTCACATGGATTCTTGAGTTCCTTGATTTTAATGATAATATAATTCCTTTCTTTTCATGAATTACTTCTTCCTTGCTTCTTGAATTGAATTAATGGTGAATGAGGGAGATATTGCTTAATTAACCTTAATTCTTTTAAGAAGATTCTAAACTAGGGATTGCTTAATCCTAGGTTTAATTCTAAGGTTGCGTAACCTTGGGATGAGGGATTAGAGCCTAACAAATTGCGTAATTTCGTTAGGACTATAAGGTTGATTTTTGTTTGTTAAATTAACCTAATTCATGGGAAATAGGATGAGTGTTAAATCTTGAGTGGAATGAGGATAGAATCTATGTGGATGAACTAAGGATTGCTGCTTTCTATTGTTTGAATTAATTAAACTTGTTTGCTTGCTACTCTTTTTATTGATTTGAAACCACCAAACCCCCTATTTTAATTGCTTGTTTAATTAATGCCTTCAACATGTTTAATGAAGATTAATAGCCAATGTTTACGGGAGACAATCTAGGGTAACCCTAGTACTACATTATTTTGTTTAAATTTTGACGAGGATTTGCGACAAATCTTTTAAACACAGCAAGAAAATCGTTCATGCTTTGGAAGCATTTGGCTTTGTCGAGAATATTCGTGCTTGTTATACTTGTTCAAAATGGTATTAAGATTATGTTTAATGTAAATTTTATAGCAAGGAGAATTGTTTCATTTTTCTTTTTCAACAGTATATTTCTCTTTCTCTTTTTTTCTTGAATGCAATTTGCTAATGGATTGAACTTCAGCATAATGTTGTCCTGAAATAATATGGCTCTGGGACCTTGTTGTCTTAGATTCCGAAAGTAAATTAATTTAATATTTTTTTAATACTCAAACGAGTTCACACCCATTGACATAAGTGTCAAACTTAGATTATTACACCTCTTAATAACTTTTCATAAAATATAAGATTAACTAATTTAATTATTGAATATTTTATATTATTTTTATAATTATTTATATCAAATTTTAAATAATTTGAACATTAATAGATATGTTATTCGAAATTTGATATTTATTTACATTTTAAAATACAAGACCACTTAAAATAAAGTATGCAATGAAGTACTTACTAATTTTATTTTTTTATAAAATTTTATAAAGTTTATTTATTTAATAAAAACTATTAAACTAATTATTAGATTCATCTATTTCATATTATATAAAAAGTTATAAAATTATGTAAGTTTTCAAGTTTACCAATCGGGTTTCATTAGATCTTAACTCTACTCAAATTTAGATGCTCCTATTCTATCATCCCTATCCGTTCTCCTTATATTTTACCCCTTTTTTGTTTAAGTTTGGTTGTCATGTGTTATTCTATCATGGAGAATCCCCATGTTGAATCCGTTGGATAACCAAATCATAAATCTTAAATATCCTGCATCAAATTATAAGATCGAAACCATGTTCTTCGTGTGTAAAGATTAGACTTGCAGTGTTTTTAGGTGTTGCATGTATGTACACAAATCAATCATTACATTGCATATCCCTAATGCCATCGTTCAAGTGGCATGTTACACTTTTCGCCAAATAAAATAGAGGAGCAAGTTGTTGAATATGAAGCTGTGGTCTCTATGCTTGATAAATATGCGAATTTGTTATTAAGAGTGTAATATTGAACAAAATCAAAATGTACAAATTTTACTTTACAGGATAAACATTTACCATGTTCTCAGTCTCAAGTTTGTTGAATCCTTGTTATTTACCAATCTTGATTGATCTGCATGCATTTAGAAAATGTGAAAAATTCATATTGAATATTGATTCAATTACCTGATCTTCCACGACTTCTTATATTGGTTTTCCCTTTTTTTTTTCACTCTTATTATATTGTACCGGTAATTCTGATTAATCTAAACTATTTCATTATGAACTATCAATTTTATTGAAATTTGAACCTGAAATGCATTTTAATCTTTATGATAGATAAAAAGAAAGATATAAAATGGTACATCACACAGTACCTTATTGCATAGGAGTCTTCCACCCCACCTCCCCACATTCAAGTTTAGTTGACTTGGAGCTGTTGTGCTCCACACATTGCTTATTTGCTCAAAGTCTTGCCCTTCACATAAGTTCAGTTAACATATTGATTGTTTATGAGACATCTATTCCCAGGGGATAACCATCAATGGTTTACCGTGATATACAGTAATTAATTTATAATGAATTTTTTTTTTTAAATCTAAGAATATATTTTTCTCATCAAGTTACATATTTTCCTATTTTTCTTATTTTTGGAATGAAATTATTATTGAAGCTAAGCTATTTATGTGTCGAGGATGGGACATGCCTTATCTTTTGGGGTTCTCAAAATGGATCATTATGTACATACATCATAAAAATTATTCAAGTGTTATTTTTTTTTTTCTAGATAGTGACATTAAATTCTATGGGTGCAAGTTCGTATTTTTTTAACGATTATTGTCGATCTTTATTTACAAGTAACCATGCAAATTCTACCATATATATATATGCCTTAATTCTGTCTCAAGTATATGAATTGCTAAAGGTAGATTTACGATGTAAATATTTACTAAATCATTTAAAATGGGGCAAAAATTCATGTGGTATCACTTGTGTAATTGTAGTACGTACATGTGCCGCTAAAAACTTAAGTACGTTACTACAAAGTGACATTGGGAAGACTTTTTATTCACCAGACTTATCATGTTGCATACAAGTCTTGCCCCTTTTATAGGTTTAGCTGACATGGACTCGAGTTTAGTTGACTTTGAATTAATGTACATCACAAATTGGTTTGTTGCATACAAGTCTTGCAATGTGTTATGTACAGTAACTCCAAGTCAATTGCCAACATCGACAGAGGCAATTTCCTATACGTTTGTGTTTTGCAATGTCTATTAACAAAAGTCAAGGATAGTAACTATTTCATGCTGGCCTCTTCCATCCAAGACCAGTTTTCACCTGTGGACAGAATAATTTTTTTTCCAATATTTGATTAATTTAGGGAAAATTGTGACTGAAACATAATTATTTATTTCTTATCATTTGCAATAGGTTATAGGTAGAATACATAAGTTTGTTTTTACATTATTGCTTTTTATGTTTAAAATGTTTTTTTTTTCTTGGTCTTACAAAACTTACACGGTGTGAATGTAAAAAATATTATTATGAACATTATTGTATTAACACTAAATAGTATTTATTTGATTCCTGTTTATTATTAATAGATATTTATTTTTTTCTAAATATTAAAAATAAATAACACATTTTTTTAATAACTAAATAACCAAAGAATCCTCCTGGAAACGCATGTCATGGGACACACGCTACAATAATAATAAACTAAATATATAAAGAAATGCTTTTGGTGTCCAAAATCTGTTTTATGGAAAATTATGTCATAGAATGTCCCAAATTTAACGTTTTAATTGTTGTCTATAAATTATGGACCTAACATGGTTGAGTTCATAATTGACTAGGCACATTTCTTACACATTCCTCAGTTTCAATATCCAAAAACATTCCCAGAGAGTTTGAGATGATCACCATGCTTAGCAGCAATCTCTCTCTCTTTTCTCTGGTCATCTTTCTCTGCATTTGTTTCTACGTTGGAAGTTCCCATGCAAATAAGTGTGCTGAGACGGACAGGCAAGCTCTTCTTAAATTGAAAGACGGTTTCATTGATGAATTCAACTCTCTTGACTCATGGAAAGGTGAAGATTGCTGCGAGTGGGACGGAATTTCATGCGATAATTTAACTGCTAGTGTAACCGAATTGTATCTCCGTGATTGCTCGCTCAGAGGTAAGATGGATTCTTCAATATGTGAACTGAAACATCTTACTTTCTTTGATCTCAGTGGTAATGAAATAGAAGAAGTGATCCCAAAGTGCATCGGCTCACTTGCTCAATTGATAGTCTTGAATCTTGCGGGGAATAATCTGGTTGGTGGCATTCCTCCAACTCTGGGGAACCTTTCCAACTTGCAAACTCTTGATCTTTCCCATAATCATTTGAATGGGACCCTTCCTTCTACTATTTGGCAACTTTCTACTCTTCGGATGTTGGTGCTCTATTCAAACAACTTGACTGGTGTAGATATCATTCGTGAGGGGCATTTGTCAAACTTATCAGAACTTGACATTGCAGATAACCAATTGAGTGGATCACAACAATTATTCGAGATTAGTAAACTTGCCTCGTTAGAGAAATTGTATCTTTCCGATAATCAGTTGAATGGGACACTTCCTGCTACTGTTTGGCAACTTTCTAGTCTAAGGACATTGGATCTCTCTTCGAACGAGTTCAATGATGTGGATGTCATTCGTGATGTGCATCTGTCAAATCTATCAGAACTTTTCATCGCAGATAACCAATTAAGTGGATCACAACTGTTGTTAGAGATCAGTAAAATTGCCTCATTAGAAACGCTGGATCTTTCCAGAAATCAGTTGAACGGTGTCGTTAATGAATCATATCTATCAAACCTGTCTCAATTGAGATACTTGAATATAGCTGGGAATGCACTTACATTCAATTTTAATTCAAATTGGGTTCCACCGTTCCAACTCTATTCATTTTCTGCAGCATCATGCATTTTGGGTCCTAAATTTCCAACATGGCTCAGAAACCAAATAGAACTCGGTAACTTGGATATCTCTAACAGTGGTATTTCAGATTCATTTCCTAATTGGTTTGGGAACCTGTCTTCAGGTATTTCACACTTGAATGTTTCACATAACAAAATTAGTGGAGCATTGCCACTGTCGTTACCAAGGAAAAAACAAACCTACCATAATGTATGGGATTTAAGTTTCAACGATTTGTCGGGTCCATTGCCTCCATTCCCAGAACTAGATGCTCTGTTTCTCTCGAATAATAGGTTTTCAGGGTCCATTACTTCTTTTTGTGCAACGTCATCAGAGGCGTTAATTGTTCTCGACTTGTCTAGTAACTTACTAGCGGGGACACTTCCAGATTGTTGGGGGAGATTTCAATTTTTAGGTCATCTAAATCTGGCACAAAATAATTTATCAGGGAGGATACCCAAGTCATTTGCCACTTTACAAAATATTGGGTCTATTAATTTAAATAGCAACAACTTCTCTGGTGAAATTCCATCCTTGTCCTCCTGCAGCCAATTACAATTTATTGATTTTGGGAATAACAATCTCCAAGGATCATTACCGGCATGGATAGGCCATAACTTGAGCCAATTGAACGTGTTGAGTTTAGAGGCAAATAAATTCAATGGAAGCATACCTACAAGCCTCTGTAATCTTTTATCTCTTCGAGTGTTGGATCTCTCTAACAATAATATTACGGGGAAAATTCCACAATGTCTCAGTCGCATAATTGTTTTGTCAAATACGTCGTTTTCAGGACCAACCTTGGTATATGGAGTACTCCCTGATGGGCCAGATAATTCCAGATTCATTGACAAAGCAATGTTGGAATGGAAAGGACAAAACAGAGAATTCAAGGAAAATCTAAAACATATGACAATCATTGATCTTTCTTGCAACCAATTAACAGGAGAGATACCAAAAAGTATAACAACACTTGCGGCATTAGCTGTCTTGAATCTCTCAAGAAATAATCTTACAGGATTCATTCCCGACAACATTGGTCATATGCAATGGTTGGAATCACTTGACTTGTCAAGAAACCATCTTTATGGAAGAATGCCAGCAAGCTTTTCAAATTTGACTTTTCTCAGTTACATGGACTTGTCTTTCAACAACTTGTCAGGTAAAATTCCACAAAGCACTCAGTTACAAACCTTTGATGCCTCTGTATATAAAGGAAATACTGGGCTTTGTGGTCCACCACTCCCAAATCATTGCCCAGGGGATGCTGTTTCGCCAAATGGAAGCGTAGATACAAATAATGTTGAAGAAGATGGAGACGAAAATGAACTCATAACCATTGGTTTTTACGTCACCTTGGGGTTTGGATTTTTTGTTGGATTCTGGGGTGTTTGTGGAACTTTAATTATAAAAAGTTCATGGAGACATGCATATTTTCAGTTCTTCAACAACATGAATGACTGGATATATGTGACACTCGTTGTCTTTATGGCTCGAATGAAAAGGAGATTTCAAGTTCAAGACTAAAAGGTAAAGCATTTGATTCGTTGCCTCTGGTGCACTCATGTCAATTATGATTTACAGTGCAACTTTGTCTAAACACACAACAATGCTGGTGGATATGATGTCTTTTCTTCTTCAATTTTTTGTATGTGAAGCTCCATCTCAGAAAGTGATTTGTAGTAAGCTTTGATTAATTTGGTAGAGACAATTGTTTCGTTTGGCAGATGCATCACTTCTGAGTGATTTTGTGCTGATTTTTTTGTTCTCTTGAGTCATCGTCTATATTTTTTTTATTAATAAGTAAATTACTCAAATTTTCAATATTAGCCTGCATGCAGAATGGAAAGTGACGCTCAGGTATGATTACTATTTGCAGAAGGAAGCACTTTGTTGAAATCTACTGCTTGGTCGTTGAGAAACTATTAGAGCTAAGCAATAAATCTCAGGATTTCAGATTATCTTAGGTTCCCAGAGAGAGTAATAATGGTGCCTGGTTCTTGCAAGTTAGATGGATGTTCCTCCACTTCCCTTTGTTGTCCTTTGTGTTTGTTGATCTTTTTGAAATTGCCTTTTTGATAAAAAGTAAAAAGATTAGCCTATATGTTTGTAATTTGTGTTTCATTATTGAGTATATTGCACGAGTTTTTCATGTTTAGCTAAATGCAGAGTATTAGCTAAAGTTGAGGAGATTGTGCATGATTTCTTTTCGTATAATGCTACCAGTATCCAAATACCATCATCGGGCATCTAACTAATCTGAGTCATGCTAGAAAGAATAATTTTAGGTGAAAAAAGTCCTCTTTTGTGTTTTAGACGTTGCTAGACACTTATTTAAGTTAGAATAACCTGCATCAACTGAACTATGTATTCATTATGCGTAATTTAACTGCACAAAGCGTGAAATGCAATTAAGGGAAAAAAAAGAGATAAGAATGGTGTTATTCTTTTAGCGATAACAGAGTAATTAGTTATGTCTATCTCAGGTAAAAGTATTTTAGGAGAATAGATACAGTCGATATGTAATAAACAAATAAAGCGATAAAAAATAATTTTCATATAATTAAAGTACTGCCAAAGGAGATTGATTATATTATTTGTTTATATCTTTAATATGATATTACGTGTTCAGCATGAATAATATATTTTACAAGATATATGACATAGGAATCATAACCCTACCTGACTAAATAAACATTTGATGTGAAATTCTGGGATAATTTTGATTTGTTTCCAGCATGGCATGCCATAGTTTTATGGTTTTTGCTATAATGCTATATTGTAAGTAAGCACAACCATAAGTCTCCATTGTTTCTTCACCCATTTGAAATTTATTTGCAAAATTAAGTCTTGAGTAACCCGACTCGCTTTAGTGCAATTGTGAGATGGCTACATTGTGACTAGGAGGTCAAAGGTTCAAATATTGGAAATAGCCTCTCCACGTGACAGGGTAATTCTATGTATATTTATGCTCCCTTGATAGTAATTCTATGTATATTTATGCTCCCTTGATCCCACTAGGTTACTCTGTTTAGCAGCTGCTTGCTACACCAACAAATTAGAACAAGGATGAGACTGTTGAAGCAAAAAATCAAAATGCTCATAACTTACAAATTGCTTAAATGTTTTCCATTCAAGAAGAAGGAAAGGGTGTAGGAAGTGGCAAAACTCAAAACTAAATGAAGCAAATGCTAACAAAGAGGAAGTTTGCAAAGAACATGCTGTTTCGTTGCTGACAGGTCTAATCATGGAACATATCGGACCATATGCTTAGTTACTGTCATAGGGTATTGTGTGTATTTATGTTATGGTTGTTATTATGCTTTAAGAATATTTTTAATATTCTTAGTTGTCAGTTAGAGGTTAAATGAGCTTGATCGATCTTTTAATATTTTTAATATTGTTTACATTTTACAAACATGCAGCCGGTTCTTTATAGGACTATTTTCTTGGTTTCACATGTGAAATCATTATTTGTTTATCCATAAATATATGGGAATTCTTTTGGCTTTCTATGTCCACGTTTGACAGGAGGAAAAATATAAATCTTTCCAATCCCAGATAAATAAATATATAAAATTAGATTTTTTATCATGAAAACAAAAGATAACTGTGTGGATAAGAAAGACAAAATGAACTGATATTATTATTACTTATCTAGATCTAGGATGTTAAGAATGGAAGTGAAGTAACAGAAATTCTAGAGCCATGAAAACTGCTCCACCATCGTAGGACTCTTCGTATAGATTGTATTATATGAATCATTTTACATACATATAGACTCTTTAGAGAGGGTAGTTTCCCCAGTTGCGGAAGTTGTAAACAATCATTGCAATCCTCCAACTCTAAACGATTTAAATGTGTGAGAGAAGGACTAGACATCCATCGTGGAAAACGGGAACCTTTATATCCTTCCACACCCAAAGTCTGAAGTTGTTGGGTACGAGGTTGAAACACTTCAAGAATCTGCTCATCATTTTCTTGTAATTCAGACTCTTCATTTCTGTCCCATGACAACCACAATGAATTTAGGTGCTTAGTTGACATATTGGCTTCTTGAGCATCCCCAACTCTTTTGACCCTCTCCAAGTGCTTGATGCTCCTTTAAGGTTTAGTCGACCCAGTTCTGTCAAAAGGAACCCTCTATTGTTGCCAATGATATACATGCTTAATGTCCTTAGGGAAGTCATCATCCCCATCTGACGTGCCAAGATTGACAGTCTGTGGCAAAACCTCAAAGATAGATGTTGTAGAGCTCTTAAGCGTGCCAAATTAATCGGCAACCTTTGAAGATCACTGCAATAGTCTAATTTCAAAATTTCCATATTCAACAATTCACATAGGGATTCTGGAAGAGTTCTAAAATCACCATGAGAAATATTCAAGTATCTTAGATATTTTAGTTGACCAATTTTAGGCAGCAAACTGTTTAGTCCCTCCCTCTGAAGCACCCTCAAAGAATAACATTTTAATATGTCAACTGGAAGCTGGTAATCATAATAGTACTTCGGCATTGTATAGGTTTTCAAAGACTTAAAATTGGTTCAACTGAATTGACTTGGCCTCATCAGATAACTTTAGCCTGTAAATTAAGAGATGTCGGATTCTTTCAACCTGAGTAGTTATACCGTTGTCGTCATTAATGCAACAAACCTCTTCCGAAATAGATTGAGCAAGATCATGAACAAGATCATGCATCTTGAAACTTGTAACTTTGCCAAATTGATCTCTCTGAATATCTTGAAAAAAGGATCTCCAGTATAATTCATTCCATGCTTCATCACCAACATCTTCAGCGTCCAAGATTTCATTAGAGGAAATGAATCCATTAGCCGTCCAAAGTTCAATTAGATGTTGCTTGCTTATTATTTCATCTTTGGGAAATATTGCGCAGAAGGCAAAACATTGTCTTAATTTTACAGGCAAGTTCAAGTAACTTAATCGCAATGCAGGCATGACCAAATTCCCATCCTGTATATTCCATAGCTTGCTTTCCTTGACATAGAGCCATTCTTTTTCCTCTTTTTTGAAACGCAAAAGACTTCCAAGTGCAATTGCTGCAAGAGGCAATCCCCACACTTATTTACTATCTCCTTCTCTATCACAAGCAGCTCTGCCCTTTCTGCTGCATTCGGTTCAAAAGCTCGTTGTTTAAACAACTCCCAACAGTCATTGTCAGATAGCTTTGATAAATCATGAGGAGATGTTGTTCCCATAATTGATGCAACCATTTGAAGACGAGAAGTGACAAGAATTGAAGCACCCTTTGCTCCACAAGCCAATACCGATTTCAACCTATGCCAATTTTCTTGATCATCATCCCACACATCGTCCAAAACAAGCAAATATCTTTTCCTTTGAAGCAGATCTTGAAGTCTTTTCTGCAACGGCTCTAGATCCAAATCCTCACAGGCATGCCCAGATGCTGCTTCTATGATAGCTTTTGTCATTCTCTTCAAGCTGAAATCTTCAGAAACACATACCCAAATTCTCAGCTCAAAGTGGTTGACCACCCTCTCATGATTGAAAATGAGTTGAGCAAGTGTCGTTTTTCCAAGTCCACCAAGACCCACAATTGGGTAGACAGATAAATCCTGAAAATGAGAAGCATGGACAACCAAAAAGTCTACAATTTTATCCTTATCTTCTTCTCTTCCAAAACTTGAGGTTGAGAAATAATTGAGGTTGTTTGACGCCAATCAATGACTTCAGTTTTTCTCTCTCGAACCATCTCAGTCAAATGAAACTTAGTCCTTTCTTCGGCAATTTCATCTAATCTTTCTCTCTTATTCTCTTCATTTTCTTAGCAATCGTGTAACGGGAAACAACATGCTTGGGATGAAATGAGGATAAGCAAGAGGTTTGTACCGTGTCTAATAGTCCACACGTGACTCCATGATACTCCAACTGCAATGCTTCAGTGGCACACTCGTCCAAGATGTCATCAAGCACATAAGCTGCATCTTTTAGCTTCCGCAGCCAATCTTTGATGGCTCTATTTGAGTATTGTTTCTCCTCAGCGTCTTCAAGTGTAGCCTTGATGGTAGAGAGCAAGCTGGCAAGCCTTTCCAAGTCTTGTTGGAAACCCAGAAAGAGTCCCAGTTTTTTCTGAATGAGAGAGCTGATATTCTCAAGCACAATGTCGAGGACAGCCTCAGCCATCCTCCTCCTTCTAGTGGTATCAAGCAACAGAGGCTTCACGGTTACAAATGCAGTGTTAGTAGAATAGAGTAACAAGATTATTAGCAAGGAAAGTAGACGTTTAGTAATTTGCATAGACTTCTCAAGTCAAAAAGTTGCCTGGTATAAATGTTAGAATTGTCGTGTACAGCTGCTTGCAGGGACCCATACACGCCTTCGGAGCTTAGAGTGAAAGAAAAATGTTCTGTGGAGGTCTACACGTATAAATAGAAAAAATAATAAATATCGATATTATTTGAATGTGTATGAATCCTAACAAATAATAAAAACATACTTAGACTTGGAAATGAGAAGTCAACAATGAACCAATGAATCATTGGAGGTTTGCTGAAGTAAATTAATATTTCAATAATTTAATACTAATAATCAGTTCCTTAATTTAAATCACTCCATATATTCCAACCATCCCAGAAACATAATCTTATAATTTTTAATTCAATCAACCCTTGCATTGCACATATTTATATAGGACATAATTTTAAACATATAAAAGGGTATAAATCAATGTTTCATTACAATATAAAATAATAATACTATGTTTGGCATGTAAAAGAAAATATCAATATAAAAAAGAGAAATAAACAAGATTATAAAGTCTTGCATAATTTAGGTGTACAAAGAAACAGAGGAAAAAAAATAACTTGCACAGAAGTCACTCAAATTAGGGTCTCAACAATACTGTAAAAAAGAAGAAAAAGACACAACTATTGTTATATTATTCCTTACTTATCCTCCTTATTCTCGATTAATATTTCTGTGATATTCCTTATTTAGCTCCTTTATTCTTAAAGTCTCGACACTTTGTAGTGATGGTACCCCAGTAGTCAATTTTAGTACTTTTGTTTTTGTTATCAAGTCTTTTCATGATCTGCTAAGAATTTTATTTTCTTGTAACAATCAAGCAAGTTGAGCGAACAGAAAGAGAAACACTAAAACTAATATTTATGTTTCTTATTTTCTTAATAATTCCCATTCCAATTCATTTATAATATTAAGAAAAAATATTATTTGATGAGATGTAACAAAATAAAGAAATAAAATAATAACAATATAGTATCTTAAAATTTATGTTCATTTTAAGGATATACTTCAATACTTCAATTCTTCAATAATTAATATTTGAGTGTCACTGAAACTCTGGTGAGAAATATTTGATTTTGATTATAGTTGGTGTTTAGTACGATCATTCGTGAACTGCACGTAGTTTTGCGTTGGAAACAAATTTTGCGATGTATAGAAATGCATGTTCCAAGTAAACTCTGACTTCTACAATTGCTGTCTTGTTTAAGATTTCTATTGCTAGTTATGGCAGCTTTTTTGCTCGGTTGGACTTTTACAATGCAAATGTTCCCAACGTGCAATAGCATGCCATTGCACCTTGTTAAGAAAATATCATGAGATGAAATATAATAATTTATACATTTTTCTCCTGGATTTTATTTATTTACCTTGCTGAAATGGTGCTCATATACTATGGTAGATTAGTTTACTAACTTGAAATTTGATGAATTATTTAACATTATTGAGAAAAAAACTTAATAAATTAAAAATATTAAAAAATTGATAAATTTAACACACTCTAATATATGATAATATAGAATAGGAGATAGATGTCTTGTATAGAGTCTTTTGAAGTTATAGGAGTTAGCATCACTTTGAGTTTCTTGCTTTGTGTTCTTCTGCTCCCAAAATTCAGCTATCTTAAATAATTTGGTCGCTCACAATGGACTTTCTGTTTTCCTTTGGAATAAAGTAACTTATTCCCCAAATTCTGCTATCTTATGTAGAATTATGTTGACAGTTTATTATGATTGAAGAAACCAAATAGACAATAGGTTGAAGTGGAAGAAGATGAATGAAGGATTTAACCAAAATATAACAAGGGAATCAAAATGTTCATGTGATTAGGCATGTTCATTGAGCAGATATGTCAATATTATAGCCCACGTTCTAATTTTTATATGTTGTAAATAGAAATAGATTTGTAACAGTTTATTTCTTCTCCGATCTCTCCTATCCATATTTGCTTAATCTTTGTATATCAATTATTAAAAATGTTATAAGTTATTTTTTGTAATAATGAAAACTATATTTCAATTACTTTTTCCATATTTTATATGAAACAACACGTAAAATAACGGCTTATAATGTTGGTTGAAAATACGTGAAATGAAGGATCAAACTTACCCGGTGCATCATTTAGTTTGACACCATAACTCCTTCAAAAAAGCGTCTTGTTCTTGATGCAGATTGCTTTCGCTGCAATTTTGCATTTGGATAAAATAGAGAGTAATGCTGTTCATACTACAAACATCAAATTCTACAACTATGACCCTTTTGGTGCGGTACAAGTTACAACATTCTCTCTCCTTTTTCCTCCCTGAAGCAAAAGGTGTAAAATGAACCATTAAAATGTGTTATATGAATAACATCATTTGTATCAATTTGTGACACATCATCTAAAAAGCTGCAGTTATGAAGAATAACATATCTACACTCCATATTGCCATTTATGTAATTCACAAGAATGGCATTCCAAAATATACTGAAAAAATTGTAATTTGATGGAGAACATCATTTGTATCAATTTGATCTAAAAAACGGCAGTTATGAGGAATGACATATCTACAATGTAGCGCTGTAGAAGAGCAAGATAACAGAAATGAAGAAGCTGAACTGTAAGTGAAAATTACTGCTACTAGGTAGCAGCTAAAAAACTACGAAAATCTTGACGTTGACTCAAAATTTCTTCCCTATATATGAAACGCTTGAGTAGCTCTTTCTCTTTCAAAACCAAACATTCTTCAGCCTTACCAAACCATTCATATCTTTGTTTTGCCACATAATCATAGACAGCATCCCTGAGTGGAGTTGGAATCACCCAGAGTGAGCTTAAAGTAGAGTAAGGTAGTGGCAAGTATGACAGTACTCGCAATGCAGCTGCAGAATCACAAGTTACAAAGAGATTGGCACACAGCATCACATGGAAAGCAGAAGAGAATGGCGAAAATATAATTGACAAATATTCATCTGTGTTGTATATTAATTAAAATATTTATTCTGAAATGAATCCTAAACATGATGGAGATGCCATTGGCAAGGTCACTACATTTACATTAAGAGCTTGTTCATCACACAACATGGCAGAATATGGACTTTACCGGTAAACTTAAGTTTTGAGAAACAAATACTTTTAAAATGTTCCAAGGTGGAGAGTACGAGTGAGAGTCCACAAACTGATAAAAGTACTCGACAATGAGAATTATCATCAATATTTGGGATTTTACTTTGGGTGCATGACAGTATAGTCATTCCAAGTATCCTTAATTTTCCCAGGTTCGTTTTATTTTTGGTTTGGGAGGAGAGGGGGGGAGGGAGGAGCTTTACTCATTCTTCTTTCTCATTATTTTGTTAACAACCAACTCAGGTAGGCTTTAGGGTTTAGGGTTTTATGAAAAATTAATCTTCTTAATTCAATTGTCCAATTGTTTAATTTAACTTTTCAGAAAGTTCATTGCTTGAACTCTAAATGTACGTATTATTTGATAAAATAAAATAATGCAGTGAAATAACAAATAATTTTATTTTTAAAAATTAATCTACTTGATAAGAAACTTTAAATACAGTTGTATTAATCTTATATTTTTTTAAATGTTATTAAATAGTATAAATATCTAGTTTAATCATCAATAGTTGGTTTAATAAAATTTATTTTCAATAAAATGTTGCTATATATGTATATGAAATTGTTGGATGATATATAAACACTTTCAAATAAGTTGAAAATTCAATTCTCTTACTTTCAATGAAAAGTATACATTTTCATAAAAATGTACGGTTAAAGTTAATGACATATTTCAATTACATTTAACCGTTCACAATTTATTATATTAAAGTCTATTTTATTTAATTTTAAGATAAATGGATCCTTAATTTATTTTTACAGTTACATTAGTTGAACATATTTTTTTTTAATAATAGCATATATAATTATCTTTATTTTTCATTTCCTTTTTATATTTTGTGTTTATGCATTTAAAATACACCCAATTGAAAATATTTTTTATATTCTTTAACCCTAAAAAGCTAAGCTTATATTTTGTTATGTATAGGCCGTGCAACAAATGAAGGCTAAAACACAAGGAGCAGTTGATGCCGTGAAGAACGCAACAGGGATGAACAATTAGTAGCTAAACGAATGATGGTGTTAAAAAGTTTCCTATGAAATAATCCATGTTTTTCTCATTGACTTATTATTATTACAAGTGTAATTATTTTAATTCCATTGTAAGTTTAGCCAAACCTATTTCATTAATGAGTTGAGTAAAGATTTTAATTTTAATATCTTTAATATTAATTATTGATGCTTCATATTACATTGTTGCAATTACGACTAACATATTACTATTTGTAATTCATAACAACACTAAAATGACTAGTTATTAAAATAGTGATATACATTGTATTTAGTGATGAAAAATAGCAAAGATACTTGATACTTGATGTTTTAGTAAGCTTATATTTTATTATTATTATTTATCTAAGATGTTTTAGTACTGACTAACATTTAAATGAGACGAAAAAAGTATTATTTTAAGGATACTTATACTCTTTTTTACACTATCAAGGTATAAACTTCATAAGATGTTAGACTTTTTTATCCTATCATTTTCTTTATAGTGTTTTCTACACCTAATAAAGTAGTATTTATTAAGAGGTGTCTTTCATTATCTTTCCAAAACAGTAAATATACAAAGGAAGGTCATCCATATGTGAATTGGGCCAATCAAAGAATAGATTAGCCTCTTTCTTTCTCTATGCTTTGCCTCTTCCTAATAGAACCCATAAGCTGACAAAAGAAAACAAAAATTAGACCTAAAAAAAAAAAAAAGAAATTGCCTCCTTTCTCTCTCTTATTCTTGGAGGGCATGTTTGGTACAACGCCTGCTTCGTTCTTCCCT